CTCCTGGAGCGCCCGGACAGCGCGTCGTGTGGCTTTCCTGTCTGCTTTTACCCTTGATCTTTCGCGTCGCTCTGGCTGATTGCCCTGTGCGATTAGTCATTTTCCGTGATTCCTTCCCTTTTACGACGCTCACCTGCAACGGCAAGACGGTCGAGCTGTGGACCGCTACGGTCAAGAATGGCGATGTCTGCGAGGTGCCTGTTGATACCCCGCTGGTGTTCTGGACCCGCTTCGAATGCCGCTTGGATGATACTTTCCAATTGGATATGACGGGTCAGATGACACAGGCCTACCTCGATGCTGGGTGCCAACTTCTCGGTTCGTCCATGGCCCAGTTAGAACTGGATTGCACCCGCCCCGTGCCGCTTGATAAACAACTAGTCACCCTTCCCAATGGCGGATCCCCCTACAATCTGGTTGGCATCCGCGTGCGTGGACATCGAATCAAGGTCTTGACCTATGCCAATGTTTACGGTCTGGCTGATTTGCAAACCCTGGACCTGTCCCACAACAATCTGACAGCTCTCAGCGACTTTGCCCTGGATAATGCCTACGCTCTCGAAAATCTCAACCTCTCGCATAATCAGCTAGGCCATATCAATCGTGCCAATCTGCCTTCATTCGGTCGGCTCAAAGTGCTCGACGTCTCAAACAACCCGATTCGCCTCCTGGACAGCTCTGCTTTTGATGCAGCCTTCCCGCGGGATTGTGCAATGCGCAGCGTTGAGTTGGACCTTCTGCTTCCGTCTGATGAGACTTGCCAATGGTCCTTGCAACACGGCTGCTATGGACCTGTCGTCTTTTCCGGCGACCCCAATGCCTGCACCGTCTTCAACCGCACCATCAGCATTCCCTGCGAGCACGATCGCACGCAAACATTCATGTCGTACCAACTGTGCGACGGTCATGTTGATTGTGACGATGCTTCGGATGAATTCATGTGTGATCGCTACAACGTTGATATGAGCAGCATTTACGTGCTGGGTGCATGTACCGGAGACAGCATCGATATTCACCACATTCGTGGACGAATAGCCGTCATGCCCTCCAATCTGGCCATCGTAGCCAGCGGCTGCGTGATTGCTTTCCATCGGGCCCTCGCTTTCAGTACATACAATCCTGAACTCAACGCTACAGCAGAGCAGATTGAGATCGTGTGGAGCACAAAGTTTGCAGAGCTGACGGGTCTCATCACGTTGAACCTCGCCCACTTTATCACCTTTGCCTTGGTTGGCACAGGAGGTGACTACTACCAACCCATGTACATTTACCCGGTAGCAGACACCACCTCAACCACCCCCGTGCAAGCTTCCTCTTTGATTCAATCCACCGCCGCCCCTTCAGCCGAGTCGGCACTTAGCTCGACTCGCCTCATCGCGCTCGTGGCAGCAAGCGTGGGTGGTGTTTGCATGCTCATTGTTGCATCTCTTCTACTCCTGTCTTGCCGCCATCGAGCTCGCATCAAATCGGTCCATGGACAGGAAAGTGGCGTCGCTTCGCTGTCAACTCCTTTACTTCTCAGAAACCAGATTGATGGGTCGCAATGAACAATCCGCCTCCCCGCCTCACGTTCGTCACGTTGGTGCACTGGTTTGTTTGTTTTTGTTTTTGTTTTTGTTTTTTTACAGTGGGCACACGAGCTACTGGAGACAAGCGGCGTTGATTATGCAACCCATTATGCCAAAGTGCTAGCCATGGACGAAACACAGGTCGGTTTGCTATCCGCGGTATTTCTGGCTCATACTCTTTGACAAGAATGGATTTGAAATACCGCTATGCCTGATCTCGCCATTGTTCTCGGCTTTGTAGATAATGCGCTGGGAGCAGTGCGCAGAGGGTGCTTTTCAAGTGGAGCGAGTTGAGTCGGCCGGTGTATTTCTTCGTGCTCGCGCCCGTGCAGATCATAGTCCCCAAACAAGCTTCGCCGCCGTAACCATCAGCGAAGAGCTGCTTGAACATGGTGAAGCACGAGCACAGGCCATCGGACTTTTGCTCGAAGCACGCCTTCTCAATGGCATGTGGCGTCATCCAAACATCTTGGGTCTGGCTGGCGTGGTCAAGGAAAATCGCGGCCTGACTTTGGTTAGACCCTACTCCACACAGCTCGATTGCGCTGTTCTTTTGGTTGCTTTGACTTCAATTTGCACAGCTCATAAGAATTGTTCTGTGTCTAGGTATATGAGGTCGAGTCCATGTCTACGTTGGCTCAGCGACTGGGCCAAACGACCCTGACAAATACCGATGCCATCATGATTTGTGGCCAGGTACGTACCTGACAGATATTTGAAGCGAAGTGGGAAGTGACAGCCCCACTGCCCACGCTTGCTCCGCTCTGTCGTTGTTGTTTCTTCTTGCTTTACCTCTTCATGTCATCGGTACAAGGGCTGCTACAGCTCACACGTGTTTCCTGTGATAAAAACCAACAGATTGCGTCTGCCTGCTCTTTTTTGGAAAGTCTGGGTGTGGTACACCGCAATTTGGGTGCCCATTCAGTTCTTTGTGCCCCTGACTTGAGCCGAGTCTTTCTTGGCAACTTTTGTAAGCTGGGCACGGTGCTGCAAGTCCTGGGTATTGGTGTCATGTACATGCGATTGATCAACTCACAATGTGCCGCTCAGCGACTGCCAAGGATGTATACCTGACACAAGAGTACATTGCACACGCAACTGTGCAAATGAGTGCAATGGCTCTGCGCCGAAACACGACGGTACATCACAAGCCCAACAGTTCAAGCGCAGCAGAGGCACTTGCGCCCGGCGCCGAATCAGGTGAAGCTTCCTCCACAAACGTGACCAAGCGGTTCTGGTCTGCGGAGGTGTGGAGTGACCAGATCTTTAGTACAAAGTCTGACGTCTACGCCTATGGCCAGTAAGTCTTCCATCCCCAGTGACGTGCATCGTCATCTCAGCTCCCCGAAGGCCCTCACTCGTTAATCCCGTTTGGCCCATCGCCTCCCCCGCTTACTAACCTGCCCCTTCTGCCTTGTCTTGTGCACCCTCCACTACCACCCGGCTCCACCTGGCTCCACCCGGCTCCACACCCAACAGGCTCTGCTGGCAAGTCTATAACAAAGGTCAACTGCCCTACCCCGGCATGTCGCTCCAGTCCATTGCCCTCCACGTCCAACAGGGCACGCCGCCCTCTGTCCGTGCCATTCCCAGCGAGCACGCGCGTCGCCTCATCCTACAGTGCCTTCGTATCAAGCCCGAGAGTCGCCCCAACTTTGCGTGCGTAGCCTTTGGTTTCCTGTGGCGTTGATTTTGCCCTTTTGATCTTCCCCCGTTTCTTTGTCCTTTTCCTCTCTCTCTCTCTCTCTCCCTCCCTCCCTCCTTCCTTTTTCCTTCCTCCCCTTGTTTGTTATCTTGACATGATTCGAGCCTCATGCACATTCACCTTCTCTTGCGGGCGTGTTCAGGACGCTGGCGGCCGCCTGGGCCAGTGCCATCGAGGGCGACGAGTCGGGCGTGGCCGAGTTTGCCGGTGCCGATTTCGACACTCGGATCATGCAACATGTTGAAGGCGCTCGGCAAGTGTTCTGGCCAAACTCTCCTTGGGTCTTCTCTTGCCTCGTCCCGGTGTTCTTCGTTCGTGCATTGTGTGTCATACGCACGTGCTGACACAGATGGCCCGGGTGTGGATTGGTGTGGCGTGGTGTGGCGCTTTCCTCTGTCTGATAGGCTCGTTCCGGTGGCTGGACTCGAGGCCCTTCGCGTCTACACCAAGCTGGATGACC